AACTATTAGCTAAATATACTATCAATAAAATTCTGGGTTACAAGTACTTACCTTAATATTAAAAAAAAAATTCTACTCTTCTTTGTTATTTTGTTCTTTTAATACCTGATAATTATAACAGCTATATAAATTATATAAGTATTCATTTTTATTATAAAAATAAAAATTTATTATATATGCTTCCACTTTATACTATATATATTCTTCAGTTATCTGAATTTCTTTTTATTAAACTTAAAACTAAATATAATAAAAATTGTAATTAACTTCATTATATAACTAATTAATTAATAACTAAATACACATTTGCTAAAATGATTAATTCTGTATTTATCAAAACTTACACTCTTGTAATAATAATAAATATTTTTAGAACTACAAAAATTTGACCTTTTAATTTTAATATCATTAATCTTTATTGTTTCAATTTCTTTTAACTACCAAAAAATTAATATTTTACCTTTATTTTTCAAATAATTATTATTCTATATTATCTTTTATTATATTATTATTTCTATATTATCTTAAATACTAGCTTCTTCAATATTATCTTTTTCTACATTATCTTTTTCTATATTGTTTTTTTATATTATCTTCTTTTACATTATCTTTTTTTATATCATCTTTTTTATACTATCTTCTTACACTCTATTTTCTTCAAACTATTTTACATATATTAGAATTACTAAGAAAAATGAATTATTAAAAATAGAAATCTATATTCTAAGAAAAGAAAACATGCTATTAAAAAAAGAATTTGAAACATTTAAAAATCCTAATACCTGCTCATTAAAACTAGCTCTTAAGTATCTTACTTCTCAAGTTTTAATGTAAATCAAAAAAAAATCAAATTAGCAAAAAAAATGAAAAACTTTATCATTTGCTTGACTTCTTACTAATAAAGATTCTCTAAATATCTTAAAAGAAACAGATGAATTAGCAAAGAATAAAATGACAATACAAAAAAAAAAAAAAGCAGCCCAGAAATGAGCTAATTAGGAAGCAGAAAAAACTAAGAAAGTGAGTGAAAAAGAAGAATAGTTGTATAAAAAAAGAAAAGATGATCATGTGTAGTTATGCTGTGCTATACTTATCTGTATGAATGCTGCCAAGGGAAAACCTGAATCCGGAAAGTACAGATTATTAAAATCATTAGTAATTCATCGTGATGATAGTAACCTGTACTTTCCGGATTCGGGTTTTCCCTTGGCGCCACTCATATATAATACTGTATCGACATACCCAATGTGCGCCATAATACCCAAAATGTTAAAAGCATAGCATTTTTTGAGTAGAATTTGAAAGGTCATTTCTGGTTTTTTTTTAAAAAAATGTCGATTTTTTTTTATTGGCAGATAGTTAATTTGATAAATAATCTATTTCAATAAATTTCAAGAATAAATATATTTTTTCTGGAAATTTTTATATAAGCAACTCTTAAGTGCGTCATAATACCCCACTTCACCTTATGTTGTCTTCGATTGTTTTGATTTTTAGATATCAGACCGATGCTTCGAAAGTCACATGACCAGACACATGGCTACATTGTCAGAATGACGTTGACAATCATATGACTTGTCACATCTATTACTTTCATAGATTACACAAATCGAATAAGGATTATAAAAAAAATTAAACGATAATGGAAATTTTCTCCGTTCTACCGCAAATGTTTCGAAAGTTTAAATAAAATATGATGTCAACTGCTGTGATGTAAACAGAGTAATAAAATTCACAAATTCGTATTCTCATTTAGTTATTTGTTAAACAGTCTTACAAGTCGTACACTGCACAAAAAAGTCTATAAAGTAGCAAATATTATTTAATTTTTGACTTTCCTCTGAATGAGTGTCAGATATTCTGCCATCTATACAAAACGATATTGGCTTTTTTTTAAAAAAGAGGGGGGTAATCGTTCGTAAAAGCAGAATATATATAAATTAAAGAAACTATAGCAACGAATCTTAATATAAGAATGGTTAAGGAAGAAAGTGCCTCTAAAGTATTTGCATACTTTGTGAATGCATTTCTAATTCTTTGTTCTCGAGGCATCATATCAAATGAGGAAATTAAGAATCAAGATCCATTGAAGGAATTTAGTGCATTAAGGGATCATATCTTTAAAATTGAAAATTCAAATTATCA